TATTAATTATTTATTATTGAAATTTATTATAGAAATGAATTCTTTCCGACTAGATTCGCATAATTTATTCAAAGCCACCTAGTTTCTATCGCGATCGTATTCGCAAACTGCCAAAAAAATGGCGAATGGTCATCAATAATAATGGAAATTATTTCGATGATTGATTTATTTTCATTCTTTTTAACCCTAGAACGGTGTTCGGGTCCTTTTTGACCCACCATCTTTTTATATTTTTAGCCATTTTTGCTGTTATCAAGTTTACGTTCCTTAACATTATTTTAAACGTTTATCGTCTAGGCTCATATGTCGCATTGAAAACAAAAATTATTACACATAAGGTCTTGGGTCCTTTTTGACCCGAAAGTCTTAAGTGTACAGTCAAAATGAAGACCGCTCTAGGTCCCTAGGACCGCTCTCAAATGAAACCTTGATTGTACCCAAAAGTCGGGAAAGAATCTATTTCTATTTACACCCAATATTTAAAGTATTTAAGTATTTTCTTATGGAAGTAATTAAGGAGTAGTAAACAGTTTGAGTAATTTTTAATTACAATTACCGACTTTTCTAATAATACATGTGTACGTTTACATAGTACCGCATAACATAACACGCAATACCTTAATAGATCGTATTAACACATTCACAGTAGTACAAGGACAACGTCACTTGATCACTCTAATTATTTTCATTATTACTGGATCAATACAAATTCTCTTTCTTTCTAAATACCTTGATTTAGTGAGACCTACAGACTGATTTCAGTACATGTTTTAAATATCTCTTAAATATCTTAACGCAAGAATAAACAGACTTACACCACTTTAAAAAAGAACGGTTCACTTAATACACAGCTGACTACAATTCAAAGATGTAAATGCTAATTGATCGTTTACTTTCCACCAACGTGATACAAAAAGAAAATTTCCACTTCGAATATCGTACTCTTCGGCACAGTAAACTACGCATTCCTAGTGCAGACGAGCATCCAGAAAAATGAACAACGCCTCGAGTTGTACCGTGGAGCATCTAACATGCGGAAGCGACATTGCGGCAAACACGCGATTATAGTTTCAGATAACACTAATCCTACGTGTGCTCGACAAAGTTTAAACATCGTTCGATAGAACGAAACGCCAATCTGCATCGACGACGGCGGCTAGCGGCATGAATTATGCAAATATGCCCGAAACGCACGCGCTCCCCGACAAACATAATTGAACGTTGACCGATCGGCTCGTAGGAACAATCGCGAGATCTATCGTGAATCAGAAACAATCCGAACGAACGTTCGGCAAACAAACAGTAAGCGTGTGACGTCGAACAAACTGTTGATAAACGATAATAGGCGAGCAAATAGGAAACGAGAGCATACTTAAACAAATGTACGAACCTTGTTCCGATAAGTGCTGGGCAGGCAAGCCCATTGCGCGTAGCTCATGTGAACCATCGCGCAAGAATTTCTTTTTATCTCGTGAAAGCTCTCCGTGGCTGAATCCTTTTGTCCTCAACTACTTGCTGCTTAAAATTCCACACACACATACACACGCGCGCGCGCGCAACACTTAATCATCGACTTCGCGTCAATTTCTTGGCATTTCCATCACAAATGAACGGCAACTGAGAAAAACAATTTTTGAAACACTATGATAATCACGAAATATGTACTTGGAGCAAGACGCTTTTCTATCTAACTGTCACTGCGTTGCAATTACGAATGCTCTTTACAATCTTCCCCAGAACGTTTGCGCGATAGTCAAGTACTTTTACACCGCGATAAAATCTACCGTGCGAGTACTTAGGATCTATTTATCGTGAGAAACCAGCGTAGAAACGGCCACTTGAAAATGACGTCGCTTCACACCCGATGATCGGAATTAACGAGTTAGATACCGTCAATGTCACCGCACTTTGGGGCTACGTTCGGATTTCGGCTGAAAGAACCGTGATACGCGTACGGTTTGGTGCGGTTTCTGAGCGCGTGAACGCGTAAACACGTGCACGTTCCAAGGCGTAGCTATTGCTACTCGCCGCGCGAAGGATACGTCTCGGCGATTATACTCGAGAGCCAGCCATCGCTGCCACTGGCCCAACTCAGGGAACCTCAACGATCGCTCATTCCTCGCAGCCGAGGCATACGGGACCCTCAGGTCCGTATGAACAAGCCAACGAAAAATTTTGAACGAACGACTTGTCGACCACCTTTTCCTAATTCTTTAGGTTACCTGGTGTCTATTTCGCGATTGTTGGAAGGGGTAGGTGAAACTTAGCAACAGTGAGATTTAAGAATTTTTCTGATTGCAGTCACACTGAAGAATAGCGTAAAAATGCAAAATGAATATTGTTCGAATTAACCCCCCGTAGGCGGTCTGGGTCTTTGATGACCCAAGTGAAGTTTCCGTATTTCTTCGAAACAAATTTTCATTTTTATTGACAAGCGTTTTATACATTTGACTTAACAAACTATTGTACAAGGTAGTAAAGACTCTGGTAAGTACTCCAGAATTTTTTCAGATTTTTTGAAAGCTTGAAACAGTACAAAAATCAGACTTGGATACAAACGACCCGGTTTACCTACGGAAGGTAAATGGATAATTTTGTAACTTCCTTTTTTAGTCGATATGTTTCACATGCTGCATATAAGATTTTATAAATAAAGATTTAAAATTTCGATTTGGCATTGCAGAAGATACAAATATTGTGGATGAATTTTTTTATCGAAGTTTATGTACTTACGTATTATGCTCAAAATTTGGATGTTAAATAACAATTCCTTCTCATCCAAATTCAATCAAAAAATATCCTGTTAAATTTGAGTTCTGCGTTTTAAATAGCTTTCCTTAATCGTTCTTGCAACTAACTAACATTTTCTACTCAATGCATAAATTAGTACTATTGCTACGTTTTTTAAAAATAAAATATGTCATACAGCCAGTTAATACTTTTTATCTCGAAAATTTGAAAAAGGATACATGCGTTCAGTGCAATAATTAAAGCTAAATTTTTCAGACCTTTATGGAAAGTGAAACTTACGCTTCAGAAGAAAATACTTTTTCAACAAACTTTATGTACAATTTACTCACAAATTGATCTAAAATAACGTAACAAGTTATCTTTATACCGTCAATATAAAATGACTTTTGTAATTCAGAAATAATCTGGCTGTCACAAATTTCATCTTATCATTGCACACATCCACTGTAATATTTATTTCAATTATTACAGTATAATTGTGAATTTCAACTGCTAACTGTATCAATATTCCAAACGCATAAATGCACAAGTATCTAAATACCATTTATCAAATAATTGACTAGATTTTGTAAAAACAAATGTAGCCCTTCTTTTCACAAAACAAAAATTGCAAATAATACTGATCTTTCAATAAACCAATTACTTGAAAACAATTTGGTTACCTAAATGTATAACACACCAACGATACACAATACTTGTCCAAAGTATGCTTTCCATTAAGCGAATAAGAAATTCGAGTAGAGCGCTAAAATATTGCTTCAATATTATCATACACTTCGCTATCCCTAACCACCTAAAAAAAGGAAAAATTATACTTCCACAACATCTCCCAATGTTTCCTCTTACCAAACACTCAAACCTAATTTCTCAACCTAATCAATCACTCTCGAACTTACCAACAATCCGTGAACGCAAACAACCGACACATTACGATCTCTGGGCTATTTTCAAGAACACGATTGAAGAACAAGAGACAACCTAACACAGGGTTCCTTGCGCAGCTACGAGCGGCCCTGACCAGCGGCCCGCTTTACGACACTAAGTATCGAGAGGACATGGCATAGTCGTGTGTTTTCTACGCTTTGCGTTATGCGGGCGTAAGTGAACGAGCGAGCGAGTGAGCGAGCGTTTCATTTGAAAAGGGGCGAACCGAAGCAAACCGAAGCAAGGGGCAGGCGCATTCCGGCTCGCACATGACTCACCGACTTACCGAATGACCAATGAACTAAACAGGGTCCCTCCTTGCACTCGGAAGGTATATGTATACGGAACACGCACGCATTGATAGAGCAGAGAAGGAGAAAGAGAGTAAGAGAGAGTGAGAGATCTATTAGGGACCGTTTGCTCTCTGCTCCACGAAATTGGAAGCTTATGCACCCTCCCTGCCAGCGATTGTTCTTGAAAACGCGTGTGCGTGTATGCACGCGCGATGTTGCTCTGTTCATTGTCAATAAAAAAGCACTTAATCCTGTCACGGGCGAGCTGGCCGAGAATGCAAGGCATAGATGCAGGAGACAGAGCGTGCGCGCAATTTTTCCTGCGGTGCTAGACTCAAGATGAAAGGAATTTTGTTCGAAATTTGTAGGATGCTGTGGAAATGGAGCAACACTTTTCAGCAGAAATGAGCCGTTTCGTGTTCGAATTACAGGTTAAACTTGATACAAATCCTTGGGTTTATTTAAGTTTTTTCTTCAGCATTCAAGAAGGACGAAGATGCAAAGATTTACTTCATTGCGTGTAATAATAGAACTAAATTTGATCGTGTTCTATTTTTTACAGAGAATTCGATTTAGAAGCATACACACGGCGCTTCTTATTTTCGTCTCTCCGTTTGGAGCATGAAAAATGGATGTGTCGTTTCAAATGTCACGATTGGAACAAACTTTTTGGTACATACTATTTGTGTAAAAATACGCGGCAGGAGTGTGAAATGAAGAAACGTTAACATAATTTTGTTGCCACGAGAGAAGAGAAAATAGATATCGATAGATAAGACGCAGGCTGTTGCAACGAATACCTTAGATATACGACTAACGGGTACTAATGCAAATGAAGAAAGATTAATTAAGGGAAACTGATTGCGAGTTGTAAATAAATAAAAACGTCCCCTTCCATTTATTATTCGTCGTTATCATTGTTTAGTACTATTACCTTCCGTTAATCAAACTCTCGTAAAGGGCTTGATGCACTGTCGAACCTAAAGTTATCCGTTTATCCGTTCGAACCCCATTCTAATGATAGACACTTTTCGATTACGATGGAGTATTGTAGGAATGTTTAAAACTCGATTAAACTATCCAACAATACGTTCAAAAACTCTTGGTGTATTCAAAATTTCTTCACCTGCAGCAATAATCCGGTGTATGAGTATTTCGAAGTGAAGAAATTCAGAATACACCAGGAATTTTTGAACGCCTTCGACAACCTTTGAAACGTTGATCTGTATTGTTACAGAAGGAAATTATTTTCAGCAATTTCTTTAACCCTAGAGCGGTCTTCGTTTCGGCTGTACACTTAAGACTTTCGGGTCAAAAAGGACCCAAGACCTTGTGTGTGATAATTTTTGTTTCCATATGAACCTAGACGATAAACGTTCAAAATAATGTTAAGGAACGTAAACTTGATAACAGCAAAAATGACTAAGAATATAAAAAGGCGGTGGGTCAAAAAAGACCCGAAGACCGCTCTAGGGTTAAGTAAGTTTCAAACATTCCTACAATACTCCATCATAATCGAAAAGTATTTATATCTCGGAAAGGAAGATTTTTCGGACCTATGTTTATACGATCTTTTTTCATCCTTAGGAACAATAGAATACGGTATCGAAGTTTGGTCACCTATTTCCTTGCCACCCTGTACAACCAGCGACGGGACTCGTGAACCTGTTATTTTGCCTGCTATTTATACAGGTTATTTGTACGAAGAATGATATGAAACATACATGTTTCTTATGTTACACGGCTCAAACTGCATAATACGACTCTTGTTTGATATGTCTCTCGTGACCACCATAATGGTAGAGATACAAGAGTATTTCTCTTTAAAGAGACCACCCTCTGTATAACGTAAATCATTCTACTTTATAACACTGGCCACAAGCGCCTTATTGCGGTCGTGCCGGAATTAATAACTTCTAACATTTTACAGTTTTTCCTGGCTGACGGTCAGAGAGAAACGCGCGCAATGTACGCTCTGATAGATAGAACGTACAGACAGGGAAA